GCAGGAATTCCTAAAGCCTGGATCAGGCACCAAGATTACCATAAATTCAATAAAGTACAAATGATGGCTAAGGTGGAGTCACAGGGAGACCACAGAGGAACTAAATTGTTTAAGATGAGCGTAAGAGAGCAAAGAACTGACTCTCAGCAGCTCCAGCCGTGTGCAGTCACATCTAGACTCTCTGCTAAAACAACTATCCTTCAGGCAAACAAAAAGAAAATACTAGCTATTACTGCGACAAAGCATCTCGGGTTTACAACCAGAAGGCTCTCACTTTGCAGAAGCCATCGGGGTGCCGAGCTCTGCTGGGGAGCAGCACCCAGCACCCCAGCATACCTTCGAACCTGGCGTTCACCATGACGTACAAGTGCTCCCACGGGTAGGCAGTCAGGTCCCTGGAGACTGCATGCAAACTTATGGTGGGATAATCCAAGGAGAAGCCAACTCCAGAGTTTTCCAGCCAAGACAGGCGACTAACAACCAGGGGGGAAAAAAGAGACAAGTTAGTTTTTAACAGAGGAATCCAAGGTGTGAACCTCAGCAGGATCAACAAAGGCAAGTGCGAGGTCCTGCACATGGGTCGGGGCAGTCCCTGGTGTCAGCCCAGGCTGGGGGTGGAGGGCTGCAGAGCAGCCTGAGGAGAAAGCCCTGGGGGTGAGGAGCTGGCCAGGAGCCCCCTGCAGCCTGGGCTGCACCCCCAGCAGCTCGGGCAACAGGGCAGGGAGGGTATCCTGCCCCTCTGCCCTGCTTTGGGGAGACCCCCCTGGAACCATTCCAGGTGAGGTTGGCCAGGGCTCTGAGCAACCTGCTCTAGTTGCAGATGTCCCTGCTCCCTGCAGGGGGGTTGCACTAGATGGTCTTCAAAGGTCCCTTCCAACCCAAACCGTTGTATGATTTTCAGGTACCTGACTCACACCTGCAGACTAGCAAGCCAGCCTCAAAAAGTGAGTAATTTGGGACAAGGAACACTTACCCCTCTCTCAGGTAATCCAGGGTCCTGGACCTGCCCTAACAGGACCTTGCAATGGCATTGACCAACGGCTGAGGTAAAAGAACCTGGAGCTGCACACACCAGCTTTATCACATTTGCACAAAACCCTGAATTCCCCTCCCTGTCTTTTCATTTTCTCCTCCCTTGAGCTACCTGTCATCCCAAGGACAACTACAGAGGTTCCAGAGTGTGATTTATGACTCAAACTGTTACACACTCTGTGGTTTTTCAAGATAAAGAGACCACTGAAAGGAAAGGCACCTTTCAGTGCCAGTTTCTGGAGGACTGGAGACGTGATGTGGTTGTAGCCTGCATGTAGGAAAACAAGCAGCTGTGTGAGCAGCAAAGCTAAGGGAGCCTGGCTGTGGTCGTGTCCCCCCTCACCACCCCTGCTTCCCCTGAGCCACAGCACGGGCTGTCAGCACTGGGATGCTGCCTCCTTCTTGCCACAATGCTCACTGTCCTTCTAGCAGCCAAGAAACCAAACTGGAGCTAGTCTGGGGCGCCTGTGATCGGTGAGGCCACACGCTGAAGGGGCAGACCAAGGGGCAGAAAGCAGAGCTCCACCACACACGCAACCCACCAGTCACAAGCTTTTATGGAGGGCAAAAACCAATGAGAAGGTCACAGACGGCTCCTCCTTGCCTCGGGAATCAGGCTGCGGGCAGGAGCTGGTGAAGTGGGGGTGAGGAATGTCTTGCCCAGCCTCCATCAGCTGGTCCTCAGTGTTGACAGCTGTTGATGTGGAGTGAGGACCCAAAGCCATGTTGTCCTCCGGCAGCTCTCCACAGCACAGCACAGCACAGCACTCCTGCCAATGTGGGCGTCCCCTGTTCACCACCAGCACGTGGCCCTGCAGAGCCTCTGTGGCAGTCAGGACACACTGGGGGGAAGCTGGCACACCTCTAACACCTCACACAAAAACCTGTTCAAAGCAGGGTACAAGGGATCTCAACGTTGTACGTGTTGAGAGCAGAGGGTGCATCAACACAAGCCCTTGAATCTGTCAACCAACTCCACAAAAGAGAAACTGAAATTCTGGAGAGATTCCTCTCCAAGAGGAACACAACATCACTATCAGGTTCAGGTGCCTCAGAGACCTCAGAATCATAGAATCATTCAGGTTGGAAAAGACCTTTAAGAATATCGAGTTCAACCATCCCCCAGCACTGCCAGGTCCCCACTGACCCACGTCCCTCAGCACCACATCTCCACGGCTTGGAAACCCCTCCAGGGATGGGGACTCCACCACTGCCCTGGGCAGCCTGGCACAGTCCTGGACAACCCTCAAGGGCAAAAAATTGTTCCTCAGGGCCAACCTCAACCTCCCCTGGGGAAACTTGAGGCCTTTTCCTCTTGTCCTATCACTTGTTCCTTGGAAGCCCGACCCCCACCTGGCTCCAGCCTCCTGTCAGGGAGCTGTGGAGAGCCAGAAGGTCTCCCCTGAGCCTCCTCTGCTCCAGACTAAACAGTCTCAGTTATTTACCCCATTTTTATAAACATTTCACAGTCTAAAGGTTTTAAAGACAATCTACTCCTCACTGCACATTTTTCAAATAGTGCTTTTGTTCAAACAACACTCTTCTGCTGCTGAAATGTGTTATAGTTAAAGAACTTCTCTGTGGTTAAAGAAAATGATGTTGCCCTACTCCGCGAGCCGTGTTCCTGAGCAGGGTAATGCAGAGGCAGCCGGGCTCGCTCACTGGGCTCCCCCCCGCGCTGTTCTAACTCCTCGCAGAGCAGGAACAGCAGGAGCTGCCCTCGGAGCCTGCCCCTCACAGCTCCCCTTCAGGTGCTCCCTCACACGACAGCTGATCCTAGCCGAGTCACCGGAGCGCCCCTTCAGGCAGGACTCCTCAGGTGAGACCCCTAAAAGTCAC